GGCTATGTTAACCAGTTTGATGAAAATATTTCAAATTGTATATGAAAACACCACACTGTACCCCCATGATTGCATTAATGTACGCAGCTATGATTTAATTAAAAAAAAAAGAAGAAGAAAATCAAGAAAGTAGTCCCACTTATAACAACTACAAAAAATACCCAGGAATAAATTTAACCAAGGAGGTGAGAGATCTCTACCATGGAAATCTCAGAAGACTAATAAGAGTAATTGAACACATACAAAACCAGAAAGACATCCCATGCTTATGGACTGGAAGAATTAAAATTGCTAAGATGACCATACTACCCAAAGCAATCTGAAGCATCGATGCAATCCGCATGAAAATACCCATGACATTCTTCACAGAAATGGAAAAGACAATCCTAAAATTTGTATGGGACCATAAGAGACCATGAATAGCCAAAGCAGTACTTCACAAAATAACAAAGCTGGAGGTTTCATGCTACCTGACTTTGAAATACAGTAACCAAAACAGCGTGGTATTAGTATACAAAGAGACACATAGACCCACAAAGCAGAATAGAGAACCCAGAAATAAATCCACATATTTACAGCCAGATGATTTTCAATGAAAACGCTGAGGACATACACTGAAGAAAGAGCACCTTCTTCAATAACTGGTGCTCACCCTACACAAAAGTGAACTAAAAATGGATTAAACACCTAAATGGAAGACCCCAAACAATTAAACTTCTAGAAGGAAAAGTAGGGAAAATGCTTCAGGACATTGGTCTAGGCAAATATTTTACAGGTCAGGCTACAAAACCACAGGCACCAAAACCAAAAATAGAATAATGGGACTTTATTAAACAAAAAAGCTCCTACACAGCAAAGGAAACAGACTCTTCACTTTGACAGAGTGAAGAGATGACCTGGAGAAAGGGAGAAAATATTTACAAAGTATTCATCTGACAAGGGACTAACATCCAGAGCATACATGGAACTCACTCTGCTCCACAGCAAAACGACAAATAATCAAATTTAAAAATGGGCAAAGCATCTGAATAGGCATTTTTCCAGAAGAACACATACAAGTGGTCAGCAAATAAATAAACAAACAAACAAAAAAAGCTCAACATCACTAATCACCAGGGAAATGCAAATCAAAACCACAATGATCTCACACCATTCGGAATATCTATTATCAAAAAGACAAAGAGATAAGTGTCAGCAAGGATGTGGAGAAAAGGAAACACTTAAACATTGTTGGTCAGAAAGTAAATTAGTACAGCCGTCATGGGAAACAGTATGGGGGTTTCCCAAAACACTAGAATTTGAACTACCATATGATCTAGCAATCCCATTGCTAGGTATATTTATTTGTTCAGAAGAAAGGAAATCAGTATACTGAAGAGATATCTGCATCCCCAGCTTTACTGCAGCACTATTCACATCAGCTGAGATAGGGAATCAACCGAAGTGTCCATCAGCACATGACCGAATAAGGAAAATGTGGTGTATATATACACAATAGAATAATTGTGAGCTACCAGAAAGAATTAAGTTCTGTCATTTGAGGCAACATGGATGAACCCAGAGGACATTATGTTAAGTGAAATAAACCAGACACAGAATGATAAATGCCACCTGTTCTCATTCATAGGAGGGCACTAAAAATAAATGGGTCCATAGAAGTAGAGAGTAGAATTGTGGTTAGTAGAGGCTAGGAAGTATAGAGGGGAGGAGAGCATAGGGAGAGTTTGGTTAACCGATACTAAATTATAGCTAGATAGGAGGAATAAATGCTGGTGCTCTATAGCCTTGTGGGGTGAATATGGTTAACCATAACTTGTTGTATATATTCAAAAGGCTAGAAGGGAGGATATTGAAGTTGCCAAGGCAAATAAACGATAAATGAAGCGAGGTATATCCTGATTACTCTGACTTGAGCATCACACAGGATATACATGTATCTGAATATCACCCTGCACCCCATAATATGTACAGTTAATACCTGTCAACTAAAAATAAAAAGGGAAAAAGACACATCCTGCATGATCCCTCTCATATGCAGAACCTAAAAAAGGCCATATGACAGGTTCAGAAAGTAGAACGGCACTTACCAGAGGCTGAAGTTGGCCGGGGGGTGGGGGGATGGGGAAAAGGGAGATGTTGGTCAAAGTGCACAAAGGTCCAGATAGACAGGAGCAGTAAGTTTTACTGATCTATTCTACAGAATTATTAGCTAAAAATAATGTGTTGCATATTTCAAAGTTGCTAAAAGAGTAGAGTTCTGAACAGTATCACCACAAAAAAATAAAAATACATAGGTGAGATGATGGAAGTGTTAATTACCTTAGTGTCATCATTCCACATTTGTGTACATACTTCAAAACATCTCATTGTACCCTATAAATGTTGCAATTATTGTTTGTCAATTAAATTATCTTAAAATTAAAAAATTAAATTCATAGAGACTTCTGCTGCCAAGAAGATGGTATAGAAGTACATTTCCTTATTCTTTACACTGAGTATAACTTAAAATTCTTGACAGTATATATAGAACAAACGTAAGTCTCCGAAAGGTGGAAAGAAGAAAACAGATCAACTAGGGACCTCAGAGAAACACTGTGGTAGGTTTCTCAGGGTTTGTTTTTGTCAGATGTACCCCAGACGTGGAGTTGAAGAAACTAGCTGCTGGGAATGCCAAAAAGCACAGGCAAACAAACAAAACGAAACAAAACAAAACAAGTTAACAAATACCCCACCCGCCACGTGCAAAAACCTATTCTCTGCAACCAAAGGTACACAATGGGGCAGACAAATAAGACAGAGAAAGTTTTCTTTCTTTCTTTTTTTTTAAATTACTTCAGATTAATATGAAGGTACATACGATTGGGTTACATTGTTTGCATTTGTAGGAAAAAGTCTGAGTTGTAGTTGAATCCTTCACCCAGGAGATGTGCCATATGTCCCTACATTCTACCCATTAGGTGAAAACTTACCCAAACCATCCCCCTTTCTGGAATTTACTCATGTTTTGCTCCTGTGTGGGCCTGATGTGGTTAGTATCGAGTATATGGGATGCTTGCTTATCCATTCTTGAGATACTTAGGAGGATGTTCTCCAAATCCATCCAGGTAAATGCAAAAGTGAAAAATGCAAGATCTCCATCTTTTTTTATGGCTGAATAGTGTACCACAGTTTATTAATTCATTCACAGGTTGATTGGCACTTGGGTTGTTTCCACATCTTTGCAATTGTGAATCGAGGTGCTGTCAACATTTGAGTGCAAATGTCCTTATGATAGAGTGATTTCTTTTCTTCTGGGCAGATACCTATGCATAGGATTGCAGGATCAAAAGGAAGGTTTGCTTTTAGCTCTTTGAGGATTCTCTGTACTTCTTTCCAAAAAAGGCTGTATTAATTTGAAATCCACCCAGTAGCATATAAGTGTTCCATTCCCTCGGCAACCATGCCAGCATATGCAGCTTTGGGATCTTGTGATGTCAGCTATTTATTCACACAGAGGTTAGGCGTTATCTCGAGGTGGTTTTGATTTGCGTTTCTCTGATGCTTAGGGATGATGATGTCAATTGGCCATTCATCTGTCCTCTTGGGAAAAGATTCT